CATGGTTATTTTCCAGTAAGAGACAAGTCAACACTAGCATCATTCTGTCTTTGTTCCATACTCTGTGTGTAACAAAGGGTACGGTCCAACGGGCGCTGCAAGTGCTTTGTAGCGTTTTTACTTCTTTCTCTTTCTTCATTCGAATCCGAGGAATAGAACAAAAGGGAGAAACGCTGCGCAGAATTTGTAGCGGTTGTTGGACCGCACCCAAAGATAGGATGATTGTGACGATCATACGGTCTGTTCTTTTCAGCTGCACTACTTAAATAGTGCAATAAGTTAGAAAACTTATGGCTCCTGCATAAGACGCGGTAATGCTTACCGCGCGGCGGAAGTTCGCGCGACAGCCAATCAATATGCTGCTTTCCGTAATAATCTTCTAGCTCTTACGGAAAAATAACATATTAATTGGCTATTGCGCGGACTTCCGCCGCGCGACAAGCATTACCGCGTCCTGTGTGCAGGAGCCAATATACTTGTCTCACTTTAACTTATTGCATCAGTTCAGCAGTGCAGCTGAAAAGAACAGACCAACAGATAAAGACTTGGTTTACATCGTGCACTTAATACGCGTACTAAATCGTGTTACGACGTCCCGGCGGATTGCGGCCACGCTGCCGTGAAGAATAGCGCTCGAACCCTAGCACGGGATAAGATCGCAATTTTTCGGGTTAAACGAATCGCGTGATTCTACGGGGATCCGTGCGATCAAGGGTAATCGCGATGGATTTCGCGCAAGACGCGTAGTATAACCACCGTGGCGTAACCTTACGGTGGGTCGGATAGTCGCAGGCTTTAATCATAGTTTCGCGCGTATAGAAATAATGTAGATAACGACTTACCAGTGGTCGTCCACCACGCGGTTGCTCTCTGTACCCCTGAATGGCGCTCTCGTGGCTTACATGAATCAGCACCTCCTGGTGATCTCTAGATGCTGCGGACTCTGGGAAGGGAGCGGTGCACTTGGACACGGTGCATTTAGACACAGCCAATCACAGCATCGTGTACTTAGAGACATTTGTAGGGTCCCTTGGAACAGCGACTTGTGATTGGACTGTGTCCAATTGCCTCGTGTCCAACTGATATACATCCCTCTGGGAAACCGTTCTGGATCGCGCGGCGGCAAGTTCGAATATTCGAATCACTTGTAATTGACCGATGGGCACTAGGGAGGAACACCGCACGTCGCGGTTTCGCTTAGGCGTAGGAGAAAATGTGCCATGTAAAGGGACGTCTACATTGGAAGTAAATAGCAAGAAGTAGGAAGTAAGAGTAAGAAATTGACCAACCACAGTCGAATGTGAGAAGAATAATCAACTATGATTGGTCAATTTCTTATTCTTACTTCCTACTTCTTACTGCTTACTTCCAATGTAGACGTCCCTTTAAAGGGACGTTTACATTGGAAGTAAGCAGTAAGAAGTAGGAAGTAAGAATAAGAAATTAACCAATCATAGTTGATTATTCTTCTCACATTCGACTGTGGTTGGTCAATTTCTACAGATTTACTACAGATTACTGGCGTTGCGAACGTTAAATGAACCAAATTAACCAACCAAACGCTACCGTGATTACGAAACGAAAAAACGCTTCATATTTCAGTAGTTTGTCTCAAATCGTGCGTGCCAGTTAGAGAAAAATCGTTTTGAGAAAAACGCGTTTAAAGTTTCGGGTACTATTTAAGCTTATATTTCTAGTATAACTTATATAAGTTTCAACCTAATCAGCGATTCCAGGCCCATAGAGCAAACATACCCGAATCGTTTTTTGTTACCTAGAATTCATAGAACTTTCGTGGACTGCATATGTCTCACGAAATTTTAAACGGTTCGGTGAGCGCCAGATTTGACTTGCGCGCCACTTCGAATAATAGGTTTAACTTACGCAATTTTTCGAATTTTTCGATGCGATAAGTAAGAATAGAGTTTTAAAAATATATAGTTTAATAAAATGTAAAAAAAGAAAAATCGATTTTTTGACCAGAGAAACGATATATTGCCCCCTTAAAAACATTATTTTGACTATCTGTTCTATCTGGGATACTAATTCGTTTTATCACCGTTCAATATTATATCGTTGCATCGAGTATCCCGACTCTCTGGTGCAATGCACTTGAAAGTCGCGTATATTGACTTCCGATAAGAATGCAGCGACAACTTTCTCCGAAAGTGAAATCTGCGACAGCGAGAAAGTTAACATTGTAATAATTTAAATAGAAAAAATCGCTTTGTACTTTATATATCACATAATCTTATGTTCTAATCCTTTCTTTTAATACAAAATCAGTAACCACATTGTTAATATATTTTAATGTATTACATTTTAACACGGTAATCATTGTTTGTAGTCGTATTTATGCTGAAAGTTTTAGTTGAAATTTAACGTAAAACACATTATAATATTCCATAGATAAATCATGAAAATTAATTAATCTTATATTTAATAATTTCACACTTATGACGTCATATTTGTAATCGTAATTCATAATAAATTTGTCTTAAATTACAGCTTGAATGAAATTTTGACTAACAGTTATATAATTATTACTTGGTGTTTGCTGGGATGTTGTTTCTCACAGTTCAATTAAGATATTTTAATATATGTGTTTTGAAACATCCGTTTATTTAAGCACAGTAATGTATACAATGTTGAGAGTTACACAATGAATTGGTTTACACATATAAGAAATTTATCATTTATTTAAACAACAATTACATCTACGCATATATTATATATACATAAGCAATTATATACTATATATAAAAGCAGTTATTCACGCAGATGGAATATTTGTTTATATGACAGATATGAAAGTATGAAAGCCATCAGTAGAAGGAGCAATAAAATCAGTGAAAAGTGACCAACAAGTCGCCGATACTTATGGAATCCAAAGAGGCGAGAGTATGGTCATTTCTCGTCAAGTCACTCCCGTAACAACATCTCTGAGTGTGCACATTTGCTTTTTACCTGCGTTATACTTGCGTTTCAACGTTCAAACAGTGTAATTATAATTGTATAATCGAGTCAGAAACAAGTGAGTATTAAATAGTGTTTTCCTTATTATTCAGTGTTTTTCTCATGCGCGCCGTTTCTTTTCTAAATAATCTCTCACATAACATAAGTGTTCGAAATACATCATGTGTATATCCTAAAAATGTTTTGCGATATCTTTAGGATATCTCAATGATATATTTTGAACATTTCTGCTGTATGGGTTGTTAGCCGCAAGATTCATTATATTGGTTGCTTCTTTTACAGTGGATAAAGAACCGATCGTATTTTCGTATTTAGAGGATAAAACGGGAGAAAAGTTAGATAAGATGTACGGATTTAAGCCTTCTTTCCTCAAAGTGCAACCTAGCTGCTGCTTATTGCCACCGCAATTTGTCTTCAATGCGCAAAAGATACGCAATGTGAAAGTGTATGAAGATGATATTTGGATGGTCTCATTTCCTCGAACTGGTAAACATTTAAACCGCTTCTTTTTAACAGACATAGTTATATCATAAAAAAATCAACTGTAATAAATAGAACCAGAAATCTTAAAAGTCACAAATGATTTCATATTGCGTAACTACGTTTAAGTTTTTTTAGGGATAGTTTTTTTTTCATTTGATTTGATGAAGTTTTCCCCTTAGGCAGCCATTGGATGCAAGAAATGATATGGTGTATTGGAAATGATTTTGATTATGCAAAAAGTCGCACTTTGCACTTTGTCGAACGATGTCCTCTGCTCGAGTAAGTCAATTCGTAATTTATTAACTTAATAAATTAACAACTTAGCAGTACATTATCTCTTTTTCCTTTTATTTCGGCAGAACTTCATCTATCTTAATTGGCGAGCAATTCAAAACTTCGTTAGCAAAATTAGGCGACGACCCATTTGAGTACGTGATAAATAAGTCAAGACCGCGATATATTAAAACGCACTTACCTTGGACTCTATTGCCAAAAGAGCTTAGCGAGAAGAAGCCAAAGGTAAAAATACAATATTGTGTAAATAGAGGAGCATATTACGTTCGCTTCATTCTCTTCACACCTCTACGCCTCTTTATAATGTATCGACACATTACAGATAATTTACGTCACGAGAAATCCGAAGGACACATGCGTTAGTTATTATCACTACTGTAAAACGTTTCATAATATGCAAGGAAGCTTCGACGAGTTTGCAGAGTTAATGTTACAAGATAACGGTACGTTAAATTATATATTTTTTTTATTAGTAGATTATCGTCAGTTTTTTATCATTTTTCAATTTTTGGCGTAGAAATTCACTTTTTATTAAATGCTGTGTATAATCTATATTCTTATTATACGTAATTTTCTAATATATTTTTTACTACATTTTAATAAATACCATGACGATTTTGTATAAACTATAATTATTTAACAAATATCAAATATAAGATCAACAAATTAACAAGTTTAAAACTTAAATTATTATTAAAATTATTAAAATTATTTTATATAAAATATAAAAATAAAAAAAATTAAATTAAATTAAAAAATTAAAAAGTAAAAAACAATGTATTATTCAGTTCCCATGGCTCCATTTTGGAAACATGTTTTGCCATTTTGGAAGATGAGAGATCAGGAAAACGTATTATTCCTTACATACAAAGAAATGAAACAGGTAAAGTGGAAAATGTATTTATATATCACGGTATATTCACGATAGATATCCTTTGCTGAAACGTGTATTATACTTTACAGAATCAAGCTGCGACAATTAAGAAAACTGCAGCATTTTTAGGCAAGAACGTGACGGATGAACAAATCGCCAAACTATGTGAACACTTGACATTTTCGAAGATGGCCGCAAATCCGTCGGTGAATTTTGAGTTTATGTTATCAGATGAAAACCGGCAAGAAGATCCAAATTACAAGTTTATTAGGAAAGGAAAAATTGGCGACTGGATAAACTATATGTCGGAGGATTTGTCACAACGTTTCGACAAATGGACCGAGGAGAATTTGCGCGGAACAGGTCTGCAATTTTGTACGAATGTTGTAGATGACGAAGAATAAATAATTATGACGATCATGCGATACTGCAATATTATAAACACGGTATGCTAAAATACACTCTAGCTAGACGGTTGAGTTTTTGACAACAATTTTTATATCAAATGTACGTTGTTATTAATTGTGTGATGCAAGCAATAATGCATTTACCATATCTATTAATACTATTCTATATCTTGTTAATAATATTTGTTATTTCGAATAGTTAAAATTAATAATATTCTATCAACTAATATATTTGCTATATTATAGTTATTTTGTGTGAACATACTAAATGCAAATATGGGATGTTATTGCAGAAAATTATATTTACTACACTATTATAAGAGATATTTACACTATTCTTATAATAATAAGAGATTTTTATTGACAAAATAAACTATGATACGAACGTGCAGCGTAAAATTATAAGACGTATGTCATTATATATGTCATAAAAATGAAAGGTTTCTTAATTGTTTTATTTAAGAATGTGCCGGATATCACAATCTATTTTATTTAAATTAATTTATTCTAATCTCTAATTTGCAATTTGCAACAGTTAAATTTTGATTTTTTCAATTTTTTGTAATTGCCGGATAATATCCGGTTATCCGGTAACAATAAATGCCGGATTATCCGGTATCCGGCACATCCCTAATTATATTGCATTAATCCAATAACATCTAATTATTATTTTTATACTCAATCTTCCTTAAATATTAAAGATAACTCAACTAAATACCTTTCAGGTAGAACACAAAATCATATAAAAGTCAAAATGACGTCAGATGATTTAAAAGTGATGTCATTTTGACGTCAAATGATACCATTTTCATGACAATTTCATGACATTAATGTCAAAATGACATCATTTTTATATAATTTGACGTCATTTTGACTTTTATATGACTTTGTGTTCTACCTGGGTAGCCGAGGGTAATATGAGAGGAATAGAAAATACAACGCAATGTATCATATATGTATGTTTCATATATTTTTATATATATTTTTATATATATTTATATATATTTTATATATATTTTATATATATTTTATATATATATTTTATATATATTTTTATATATATTTATATATATTCAATAACACACACACACACATTTAACAAAAATAACTTATGACAATGAACAGGTTGAGAATACCCCTTGGCCAAATTTTTACTTAACATATTTTAATACTGAATAGAATTTAATCGTGTGTCTTATATATTTGATTGGATTTAATGCAATACGTGTAATTTTGTAACGACAGATTCTTCGGCAAATTCACGCAAAGTCGACATTACAACGGCATAAAAATTACTTTCTTACCTTACTTCCGGTCCTTTCATAATTTTTCACATATTTCAGACACGCGCGCACACAACTACTGTTCATGACGCGCGTACGCACGTCTCTATTCATTGCGAAGTGCGACGGTGATGTCAACGTAGTGTTAAGATGCTAGATCTGCAAAGATGGCGCTGATTTGTGTTGTGTCAGATTTTTAAAATTGATTTGAACCTTATCGAGTTTTGACACGACGTGGGAATTAGCTCGTAAGTTGTACTTTCGCAAATACAGCAATCATATTGAAATTCAACGAGCCATACCGTGGCGGTGGGGCGCACCAATAGTCACGTGTAATGTCGTGTACAGGTAGCATTTTGCACTTAACCTAGTCATGTTGAACCTTGAACCGTCATCGCGTATATGAAGTTCACGGAACTTCGTGAGACATTACGAGATGTAGGAAAGAATCCTCGTTGAATCTGACTGAAGAAAGAATTGTTGGCAGAGCCACGTCGATACAGAAATATATTGTGCGGCAGATCGTGTAGTCCGGCAGAAAACGCAACGCTGATTAGTAGTTTATCGCCTGGACTTCCTCGTCGTCCGCAAACTGGTGACAACGAGGTTCGATTGGATGCAGATAAAATTTACACCTGGCTGAGATGCCGAAAATAAAGATCAGGCAAACGCCAAACCCCCGTTGGTTAAGGCAACGCGAGTTAGGTGTTAAGTTCCCTCTAGGTCACAGTGACCAATTTCATAAGACTCTTTACTCCTCTATGCAACCCGTAACCTCGTGGGATCACGGGGACAACTTAACTACTGCGAGGCACGGTGGTGTGTTTAATTTAGAATATTCACCAGATGGGTAAGTAATAACAATTATTTTTGTCAATGTGTATCTCAAATAATCTCGTGCTCATGGAATGCACTCTATCAATAAATATTTTTAAATTAAAGCCATGTTTCATATATAATAAATATTGCAGGTCTCTCTTGTTAGCAGCATGTGAGAAGAAAAGTATCTTAATGTTTGACCCATTGTGCAGGAGATTGATTCATGCTATAGATAATGCTCATAGTGATTGTGTCAATTGCGTAAGGTTCGTAAAGCAAATCTTGTAATTATATCTTTGTAATTGTATAAAAAAAACTGGATGTATAATATTTGACATTGGCAATAATATTAGGTTCCTGGATCCACGTATGTTTGCGACCTGTTCAGACGATAGCACAGTAGCTCTATGGGATGCTAGAAACTTAAAGCACAGGATAAGAACACTTCAAGGGCATTCTAATTGGGTCAAAAACATAGAATATAGTCCAAAGGATAGCCTATTATTGACTAGTGGATTTGATGGTAGCATATATACTTGGGATATTAATAGGTTAGTAGTATCCAAATCATATTTTGACAGATACATGACAGATTCTCTATCTGTCAGTGTGTATGATCGTTTAATTAATATATCTTGCAATCTGTTATACAGCTTTACAGAGGATAATTTTGTTTACAATCGAGTTTTTCATACAAATGGACTAATGCGAACAAGACTTAGTCCTGATGCTAGTAAAATGTTAATATGCACTACTTCAGGATATCTCATTATAATACATAATCTTAAACTCAGTACACTAACTCAGGACTTGGCAGGATTTAAGGTATATGGCTATATAGCAAATTTAATATAAATATTATTTTATATTACTATCTTTTTTACACGATTATTTATAAACTCGTAAAAAAGTTATTTTCATTATTCTAAACAAATTTGATCATATTCTTACAGCCAAATATGTATAGACTAATGCAGTTGTCTCAAACTACTATACCGGTTGCTGCGAGTTTCACTCATTTGTTTGCTCACTCCCGTACTCACAATAGAGTTGAGTTCCTTACCGATTTTCCCATGGGTGATGATGCCGAAGTGATATCGAGTCTTCAAGTTCACCCACAGGGATGGTGCGCCTTATCTAGAAACGTTAGCAATGGGGAGAAATCTGAGGTTTGGTTTCGCGCGATAAAAAGCATTATTAGCAATTTTTTTTTTCATTCATCGTTAAATTTCTCATTGACATATTCTTTCATTTCACAGTGGACCTGCGTCCACGACATACAAGAACGTGACGCAACAAACAATTTGGAACATACGAAGGAAAGCGAAGAGACTGCTCCGCAATTCAACGAGTTGACTGTGGAGGAGTTCGAGGACTTTCAACAACCACAACCGTCGCGTTCGGGTATCACGTCTTCCTTCGTGATAGAGAGTGCGAATCGTGCCAGAGTAGTACATACCGTATCGGATGTAAGATCGAATTCATTTGTATCCACGGACGGCGCATCGTCGGTTAGACCGCCGAGGACAAGTTGGCAGGTAACGCCGCGTAGGAATGTACGTTCCGCGAGGAGTATGGATAGAATGCGTACGGATAGAAACGTAGTGCGAGCGAACTTCGACATGGTCGAAGTAAATTCGAATGCGAACAACGCTGACGCAAGAGTAAACGCGATTATTGAGGAAAGAGAGGAGGATCAGTATGTGGACGATAATAACGAGACCCCAGGGCATAATGCGTTATTGTCCGACGAGAGAGATCGAGAATATCGGTCTCCGAGACCAAATTCTCAGCTCAACGATTTACGGCGACGTAACGTGATCGACAATTTTGCCAGTGGTAACGTAGAGCTGCACGTTAGCACAACTGACGTGTGGGAAGCACTCGTAGCGATCAGAGAAGCTAGACTTCGGAGGGAACGCGAGAGAGAGTTTTATCCCGCCGCCGACAGGAGGGACTGGCTCCCTAGAGCGAACAACGGCGTGAGCGTGAATATTCCGCGATCGTCCCATACGGTTGTGATAATCGGCGACAGGACCCGGGTGCAGAATCAAAACCGGCAGAATCTGCAGACCATGTACGCTATACCGAGAAACCACAAGATACACCAGAACACGCCCAGATTAACGCACTACATCGAGGAGCCCAATGTTGGTTCCGGTTATATCAAGGAATTGTGCTTCTCGGCCGACGGTAGATTGATATGCTCACCATTCGGTTATGGGGTACGGTTACTGGCGTTCTCGAGCAATTGCACGGAGTTGTCCAACTGCGTACCATCCGTCAACGAGTCCGTACCACTTCACGAGTTAGCGACCAATGCTAGTCATTCCGATATTGTGGTTAGCACCAAATTTTCCCCTAGACATTGCTTGCTCGTGTCCGGCTGCCTTGGTGGCAAGATTGTTTGGCATCAGCCGGTAGTTTAGCTAAATTGATAATTTACTATAGGCAATATTATTTTCTATCCATTGGTAATATAGATAGGTAGACAGATGTTGCCGCTTTGTGCAAAAACAAATCATTGTAGAGAATCGCGCCGACTATGCAGAATGAATCTTTCTTTTTTCTCTTTTCCTTTCTTAATTGTCATTTTTATTCGATGCATATGTCTTTTTAATGAATGTTTTTCAATATATTATTATACTGTTCCACATTTTCTACTATTATACACTCTCTATGTTGATAATACGCATAACGAATTAAATTCTACAGGATTTACATTTGCATATATCTTTGAGAGAAAGACGAGAATCACTAAGAGAAGCATGATATTTTAGTTGCACATTAATGTAACGTGACATTAGTGTAACGCTCACACTCATGTGATATAATTAATTAAACAAAAACCGACATTTAATATCACTAACTTTTCACTAATTAATACGAGCCAAACTGTAGATAGTGATATCGACAAAAACGTATTAATGTGCAATCATGAATGTATTAATAATGTAATCAATTCTATAGTATTGTTTTCGTGTATTTTATTCGAAGCAAGATTTTTTATAATTTATTTCGGATTATAATCAATTTAATTATTATTATCGATCGAATTATTATTATTATTATCAATCGTACAAAGAAATAAAAACATTTATTTTCAATATGTATGATTGTATTTTTCCAGATGAAATATTTTTGAAAGTATAATAGAGAATGCGCATTAAAAATTGTAACGCAAGACGCACATTCCATATTATAGACAAAAATGAAGATTAGATATTTATATTAATATTTGCCGTTTATTATTGAATATAGTGTGTCACATGTATCGATATTGATCTGTTTCCGATTTATATAAGGAATATTATTAATTATGTACGCGTTTTACCTAAATGAGAGGATTCTATCTTTCATAAATATTATTAATATAATTAATAATTTATTAATATCTTTTGTTATATTATTTTATATAGCGTTAATATCACATAATACACACACACACACACACACAATAACATAATCTCTTGTTATCGTAATATATCCCTCCTTTCAAAACAAATTTTTTAAATTATAATGAAGAAATCAAAATTCAGAAACTTATAAAATAAAAAAGCATGAATCAAAAATTAGAATTCTTTTGTCAATTTGGACTTGAGTTTTATTTAGTGAAAATGTTAAGGAGATAAAATTTTCTTGTCTGTTCTCATTATTGGAGAGTATTTCGTCCAGATTTTACTTCTCTATATTTTTCTAACCGGAAGATTGTTTTAGTTTTTGACAAAAAATATTATAATGTGCGCCAAATATCATATACTCCTCTTACCTCTCGTATATATACGTATATTAATTAACCCATACGAAATGCAATCAATGACTAATGTTCTGTAAATAATGTACTTCGTGTCATACATGAATATCTAATATTCTTTTGTTCTGATCGCACTTTTGTTTATCATCATTAAGATCTCTCTCCTTCTCATTAGAAATTTCTTTTAAACTCTCAGGGCCGATTTTTCAATAATAGTTTAAACTTAGATTTCAACTTAAATTCTGTTTAAACAAAACAAACGCATTTTTAAAATGACAAATTAAGTTTAAACTTGAATCCAAGTTTAAACTGCTATTGAAAAAAAAATCGCCCCTCAATCTACGTATAAGAAAATCATCATTAATAGTAGAAAATGTGGGCCATCCTCTATTGTTTGAGATATTTCCTCACATATTAAACATGTTGAACATTATATTTTTTCGGAAACATATATATATATATATATATATATATATATATATATATATATATATATATAT